AGTGGTTAGAGGGTGAGAAGGAGAGTGAGAAAATATTGCTCTATACCATTTTGTGAAGTTCTCACTTTCATAATGAAGTTATTGTGTGCGACACAAATTTGAAATATATTTTTGTCTATTATTTAAGAGAATGTAAACATTAAATATAATGAAAACATTTAAATTAATGATATGAATTTCATTTAATTCAAAATATAACCCTGAGAGTCGAGTTATTTTAGAAACCTGTAAATAAATATGAATAAATTAAATATTAGGAGACTTTAATCCCAAAAAAGCACTTTAGCTTTTAAAGATAGCCTAAAATGTTTACGCAAAGAAATTAAAGTCGCGCTTTACCTACCTTTCTTCTTCTATTTTTGACGGAGAAACTGGCGAGGAGTCCCCAACATGAACTTTGCCTTCATCAGTATCAACGGCTACGGCATTAGCGACAGAACCAGCACCGCTGATCTTATAAAAATTCTGTGGCTTAACAGGTTCTTTAGCTGAAACGAACGTCGTGTGTAAAGGCACCGTGTTTTCGACATAGGAGCCAGAAGGTTTGAAACCACCAACGTCTATTGCGACTGCATTGGCCACGTTTCCACTGGTATGGGCAGAGTAGTTCTCGTTGACATTGACCTCCACTTCGTCATTCTTTTCATCAAAAACGGATTCGTCTTCATAATTTTCATCTTCGTCGGCGACTGTATCGACAGAGGGTTCTATATCAATTGTGTCGTAGTCCGTGTCATCGTAAGTGTCTAAAGCGTACGTCATTTCCGAACCATCAACTTTCTCGTTATACAAGTCATCGTCAATGGCGACTGCATTTGCAACGCTCCCGGTGCCGTAAGGAGAATATATTGCGTCATTAGAAACGTCTACCTCATTTTTTTCTTTGAGTGAGTTTGTATTCCAGTTATCAGTTTGGGGTCTGTCAATTGCTACTGCATTTGCAACATTCCCGACAACATAATTGGTGGGTTTAATTTTCTTACTGTCAACAATACCTCCTTCAACTTCCCTGACATCTCCATCAATGGCGACTGCATTTGCTACATTTCCGAAGTTGTATGTAGGATAGACTGGCGTGTCACGAATTTCTTCGTCATTCGTGTCAAAATAATCAAAATATCCTTTGTTGTCATTGCCGTCTAATTGTAAGACATTTTGGTTTTCAACTATGGGTACTTTATTTGCAATATTTGCAGTGTTATAAGTGAGAAAGTCTTTGTCGTATGTGTTCACATTACTATGCGTTTCCTTGATCGAGTTCATTGGCACCACATTGTTAAAAGTAACAGGTGTTTTGTCATGAAAGGCACCTTCGTCAATGGCGACTGCATTAGCTATGTTCCAGGGACCGTACGTAGAATAAACTGTTGGTCCTGTGTTTTCCACATCACTAGTAGTCTTGTACGAATTCGTAGGTCGTGAACCGTCAAAAACAACGACTGGTCGGTCATCAGGGGAGCCTCCGTCAATAGCAACTGCATTAGCCACATTTGTAGGAGTGAAGCTAGCGTATTCTTTAGTGCCGGTGTTGTGCACTTCATCCACTTCCTTCAATGTGTTTGTGAATTTTGAATCGTCATAGAAAACGGCTACTTCATCATCATAGGTGGCATCGTCGATTGCAACTGCATTAGCAATGTTTCCAGTATGGTATGTAGGGTAGGTTGCGAAATTATCATGCTTTGTTTCCTGAAATTTGACGACTTCTTTGTCGGTATCTGCGTCTTGGAGTCCATCGACGGCGACCGCGTTGGCAATATTGCCGCTGCTGTATGAAGAGTAACTTAACCCCTCATCTGCCTCGCCATCACTTTCCTTGAAAACATTCGATTCTGAATCATGAGTATCGAACGTTATTTTGTCTCTAAATACATCTTCGTCTATGGCAACGGCATTTGCAACGTTCTCAGAACCTACTACGCCGTAGTTAGAGTAACCTTCGGTAATTTTCAGACCATCATTTGACCCCTTGATTGAACTTAACTCGTGTTCCTTTGTTACGTAAGATGGCCTTACAATTTTGATTACAGGGAGAGGGCCGACATCAATATCCTTATCAATCGCTACTGCATTGGCGATACTATCGCCGCCATATACTGCGCCCTCATTCACATCCCACTGAGTGTCATCGATAATTGTCGACTTCGACTCATCGAAACCAACCATTGCATTGCCTTTGTAGTCGTCGTCAATAGCAACAGCATTTGCAACGTTCTCAAAACCTACGACGCCGAAGTCAGAGTTACCTCCAGTAACTTTCAACCCACTATCAGTTTCCAACTTGTTTTTATTTGATAAGTAAGATGGTCTTGCAATGTTTATTACAGGATGAGCGCTGACTCCATCCTTATCAATGGCTACTGCATTGGCTATGCTATTACCACTATATGCTGCGCCCTCATTCACACCCCACTGAGTGCTATCGATTGTCGACGATTTAGAGTCATCAGAATTGACTATTAAGTTGCCATTAAAGGTATCATCAACGGCAACAGCATTTGCAACATTTCCAGAACCTATAACGTCGTAATTAGATAAACCATCAGTAACTTGCGAACCAATATTCGACTCTTGCAGTGAACTTATCTTGTGCTTTTTCAATATGTAGGAAGGGCGTACAGTTTTGATAACTGGGCGAGTAACTTCTTTGTCGATTGCTACAGCGTTTGCGATGTTTTCGCCGGTAGTACCGTACGCAGATTGGGTAGCTGCGTTGCCACCAAACCATGTCGGAAACGCCATGCTATTGGCAATAGAAGTCATCGTCTGCTTCACGATACTCGATTCCAAATTATCAATGAACGAGGAGAGCCCATCACTGCGGAAATAAATGAAAGCATTTTAATTATTCTCATGATAGCAGATTGTGTGATACTAGAAGTATCGTGGTTAAAGATGTACTTAGAGTATAAAAATGCATTATATACATCAAAATTAATGTAGAAATATCATCAAATGGTTCTTAATTATTTGCCTCTGATTCTTCCAAGTTAATTCACTGGAAATAATCTTAGGAAAGTGAATTTAACAATTTAAGAGTAGATATTTACTGAAAATAAAATTTTAAAAACTTCTTTATATAACATGCGTTAAAATTAAGACCGTTTTTGCCTAGAAGCGAATACTGACATGTCTGTCGTCAGTTTGCGTAATGGTTACGAGTATACATAGGAATCTGTTAAAATGACGAAAGAGGAAGTTAGATCATTCTTACTATCCGAAAAGCAAATTAATCAATACACATTTCCCAAAAAACATTAAGTTTTTTCCCCCCGAAGATGAACAAGGCGAAAGGAAGTCTAATACTCCCTGTTGAGAAATACATGGAATAACAGCATTTCTCTGCCGATTTAATTTTCCTCAAAAGTTTCCTGGTGGTACACTACATATCTCGACATCCTTGTTGCAAAACCAACTGTTTTTTATCAAAACCACTCGTTTGCGGGTAGTTTTATTTTCGGACAATTCTGTTCCTCTTCAACCACCGCATTTCTTGGGTCACCCAACGGTTGGTCGATTGGAATGACATTTTCGAAACATATCAAATTTTATTTTATCATTGAATACTAAGAATCTAAAATTTGATGTAAAAAAAGTTGCATATTGTAATTTTATAGCGAATAAACGAAAAATGAAGATTTAATTTACGTACTTAAATGATTGGGTGATTTGAGGCTTGCGTTTGTTCAACTTGTGCAAACCTTCAGATGCATAAGAAGGCGACACGACTTCAATGACCGGGGCAACGCTGTTGCCTGCGACTACGTCGGTGTCGTAGGCGCCGTTATCGACAGCAACCGCATTGGCGACGTTCTCGTTGCCATAGGCCTCCCCAGTATCGGTCGCGGTCCATGGAGAAATGGATGTCATGCTGTTAACCACTGACTTCAAAGAGTTCTTCAGAATCTTCTTTTCGTACTTGTCAATACACGATGTAAGTTCATTACTGTGAAAAACGATACCTGCATAAATCAATATAATCAAATGTTTTTTCGAGGTAATAATAGAATACAGTGTAGGAAAACACAATGTAGACAGATTTTTCCTCAAAGTGTTCACAATAAATTCGGAATCTCCCATTCACAAAATATTTACCAAAATAAATCACGATTTTAAACTAAATTAAATTCATTTAAATACAATGGCAATAAGTTTGCTCCTGTCAATTTGTAGATTCGATGGTCAATTAAACTCTCATGATGTATTTTCAAAAAGTTAAAATGATACAAAATTTGATTATGAATACGTAACGTATCAATGAATAAATGTTTAATTTAAATCTTGGAGAATTTTTTATGTTACAGAACAGTAGATATTTTTGTTATTACTCATGGTTGCAGAGAAGCACCATGGGAAAGTGACCGGAAGTATATTCAAATATTGCAGTAATTTTTAAACCCATTTCGATAATTCGTTACCAAACGCCGGTTCAGCCCATATCGTGCTCTATAATTTTCCTATGCAACTGAAGAATGAAAATAAGGTTTTACGATCAGATTAACACTCAAAATTCTAACAATAATTTTAAATCTACTAGATAGATATTCATATACTCTTGATGTATTCAGAGCTCCATGGCTTGCTTACCCACCGTCCATTCTTTTCTGTAACGTACTTAGCTTCAGCGTTCTCCAAAACGTTGCTAGTTGCGAGAGATCTGTGCCCCATGTTGAATGTGTTGGTTATCGGTTGACTATTTTGGAAAGTATTGTAGACTTCACTGGCCATTGCTACATTGTTGGTAGGGACGGTTTTAGGTACGTAAGTAGTGTAAGGATGTGGTCTATAATCATAACCTCTGGTGTCGTAACCAGAATATGTTCCTAAGCCGCTGCCAGCAATCAAATTTGGAAAGAACATGATGCTATTGGCTATGGAGTCCATGGTGTTCTCGACGATCTTCGAACTGTAACTGTTCACGCACGAGGTAAGTCCATTGCTGTGAAAACGAAAATTAGTATCAATGTACCAATTGGTTCTCCGTAGGCATGGGCAACGTTGTCAGTAAAAAAAACTAAAAACGCAAAAATATATGTACACGAATATGTCATTCGTGTGTTTTTCGATTATAGCATTAACACTTAATTCAATTCCAAGTAAAGGTAATTTTATACCAAATGAGACAATATAATTTTGTTTAGATGATATTGACGAGACGATGAGTTATTACACGATGTTATTAATGTTTGTTTCAAATTTCTTTTTGGATCCCTTTTGAAGATAAGTATTCAATAAAAAGAGGGCATGACAGCTTTTACGTGATAAATGAATATTATATCAATAACATTAAATATTTGGGCCAAGAATTATCCAGTCTCTCTCTCTTTCTTTCTCTCTCTCTCTTTCTCTTTCTATCTTTCTCTCTTTCTCTTTCTATCTTTCTCTCTTTCTCTCTATCTTTCTCTCTTTCTCTCTATCTTTCTCTCTTTCTTTCTCTCTTTCTTTCTCTCTCTTTCTCTCTCTTTCTCTCTCTCTCTCCCTCTCTTTCTCTCCCTCTCTTTCTCTCCCTCTCTGTCTCTCCCTCTCTGTCTCTCCCTCTCTGTCTCTCCCTCTCTTTCTCTCCCTCTCTTTCTCTCCCTCTCTCTCACCCCAACATATATTCTTTCCCTCTCTACATTTAATCCATATTTACTCACACTCTTTCTCTCTGTCGTTTTTTATTCCCACCCTCATCCACTCTCTCCCTTCTTTCTCTGCCATCTCGTTTCACCGCAACCCACAATCACGGTGCCATTTGTTACCCACCATCCGTCGTAAGCAGGTGCGATCCTGTAGGGACGCCTGGGCCGGTAGAATCTGTCGTCCGACGCCTTGAGAGAGTTGGAGTTCGATAGCGTCACCGGTTTCACCAACGGGTGATGAGGCGCATGCGTGGCAACAGGCGATTCGACAATGTTGAACGTGTTGGTGATGGGCTGGTTGTTCTGAACGGTGTTGTGCACTTCGCTGGCGAGGGCCACATTTCTTGTGCCTGTCGTTCTGGCGGTGTCCTCGACAGGGAAGGCTGGGATTGGTGGGATGGCCACTAAGCTGTTGGCGATCGACTTCAGCGTCTCTTCCATGATTTTCTTCTTGTAGCTGCGCACGCACACAGGCGACCCACATGCTCATGTGAGAATCACATTTTATAATAAAATAACCCACGAAATAGCATGTGTTTGTGAAACACCACATCGAATATGAGTGTGTTTTTATTGTGATATAGCAAATAAAAATATTATTAGTGCTCTAATACATCACAATTGTCCCGGATAAATGTGTTTTTGCACATTGAATGTGAAGTGTAGATATTCACGTAGTACAAAAACATTTTTTACAATTGAAACATATTTCGAACCAAAACTTAAGTTAGTAATTGAAGCATGGGCAGTTAGAACGCAACAATGTTATGAAAAGTGGAAATTTTGTGTAACAATGTTTTATGTACTTCTCGACGACAATGTAAAAGATAATAATGGTCAAATGACCACTAGTCAGAAAAGTGTTTGGCAAATTTCGGCTACTCTGTAACATATGTAGGGAAAAATGAAAGGCGCTAATTAGGTTGCGGTCACAACTTCTCCAGAAAAATTCGAACTTCGTGGCAAAAAGAGAAGAAATGTGACTAAACAGACTGTAAGGAAAATATGCAGGGATGAATGTAAGAAGTATCTATGCTCCAGAAACATTCTAAGACCAGCATTGCCAGAACCAAAAGAGATAGTTAAAACAACGTATGTAGAAACACATTTTTTTGCTTATATATGCTTATTTAGTTTAATATACAACATTTCAGCAACAAATGTGCAATTTTAGGTATTGATAATTTGAGTTTTGAAATATTACAATAGACGTTCATTGACCCGTTTATAAAATTTTAAATATATTCGCTGCAATCTTTTTTCAGAGTGACGTTTGTGTTTATAAGAAATGGTTGCTTTGGTAGGAATTTCATTATGTTAGAAAATGAGTTTTATATAAATTACCAGTCTCTGAACTATAACGAATCAACTTCGTATCGAAACTTTTAACATCATCGAACTTGCAGAATCGAAAAGAAGGCGAGTGGAAGCATCAATTTCTAGACGACAAACCACTGTAGTGTACTGGCTGAACAAGCAAAGTGAGGACTTGTAACAAAACTATCTGTGACACATTTTAAATAACCTCTAGAAGACTCCAAATACTTGAACATAAGATTAAAAATAATGGTGAGTTGCAAAATAAGGTAGTAACTCATAAAAAGTGCCTCTTGTATTATCAATACTTCTTCTATTATATATGAGCAACAGAATTACATTGCGTGTTAAAACTTCATATTAGTTGTTAAGTATGATATGCAATACTTTGAAAACGTTGTTTATTCTACTACTTGATCATGTAATAACGTTGTATATCCATGTATAAACAATATTATATGGAATAACATGCCAATCTTGCATTATATCAGGTACGCGTGCTGGAAAACTAACTCTGATATTGCTAGAAAATAGAATGATATTTTATTCTCCCACATCAAGCAAGTTATTTATAAAAAATATATCATTATACGGTCTTCAAGTACATTTTTGTGGTTACTGCACAATTTTAAATGTCACTTACTATGTTGTTATGGTCCACGCTTTAATATCATGCTAATTAGAAAACATCGTAACTCCATATTCCCTCCTCTATTTTATGTTTTATTCATGATACAATATAATTATGAAGGAGTAATAAATAATGTAACTAACAAATCGAGCGTCTTAAATAATTGAGTTTCCCAGTAACAAGAAAACCCAGTAACAAATTCCCCAGTAACAGATTCAACAAGAAAGGAAACTAAAATACTTCTTCCAGGCTATGTTTATTTTTTCATATCGAAACTGTCCAATCTGGAGTTACGAGGTACACTAATTACTATGACGGTATGTATATAACCAACGATAGTGACAAAGCTTTTTTTTCTTTTAGAATAATAAGAATATTATTTGGCAAAGCATCCTAATAGAGGTGTTTTCAAACAAATAAGCATTGAGCTTGAAATACATCACTTTGCATTCTTGGCTACCCGGGATAGCTCTGAAGAAGACCACAGCAAGATGGCCGAAACGTCAGAACAATTGACCGAGACGCGGCTCATCCCGGATAGCCAAGAATGCATTGACTCTGGCCGCGGAAGCCTAGGAACCCGATGTATCACTTTGATCAAACATAAAAAAACGGATGCCATTTTTCCTTTCTCAGATTTTTTTATGATTCAATTATAAAAACAGCCATTTCAAATTTATTAACAATTACTGATAAGAATTTGTTTGGAAATTATTTGTTATATGACTCACAGAAGACAAAAACTTATCTACGGAACAATATAGTCAACATCCCTAAAAATTTATTTACTATTTTCTTAATAAATTATTCATAAATTTCTATTTTGAAATTTTGAATAAAAATAAGTGGAGTATAACTTAAAATACCAATTATAAAATAGTTGATAAATTTCACATTAAATATAATATTTTGAGATTGAAAATAAGGTATTTGAAAGACGTGAAAGTTCGCCGTTGTTCTTCTTGCGCGCTTGGAATGAATAAAAACGAAAGAAAACATATCTATGAGACAGTTCAATAACAAAACGCTTGAAATTTGAAATAATCAAAAATAGTTACCCTTTCCAATTTACGACTAAAATAACTTTTACAGTTTTCGAAAATTTTAATGGGAAGAGGTTTTGTAAAATGAGGTTTGAGTGAAAATTGAACCAGTGTCATTTTAAAAGCTAATATAACAAACAAAATTTCAAGAGAAAATTTATACCATTTTCAGAAAATTTCGGAAATGTCGTTGGGTATTGTGGAGTATTAAAAACAAAAAAACAAAATATTCGTTTCAAACGTGAAGGAACGCGACATGAAGGTCGATTAGGGAATATATATTTTGCTGAATATATTATGTACGATGTAAGTGCTAATGTGTTCGAGAAAGTAATTTACTTCATGTAGAAGCAACAAAAATCCACATTTTTGATATCAAAGTCGGAAAAGAGTTTCTTCCGCAAAATTTGGCACTTTCTTCTGCGCTATTATACAATTGTTTGTCTATACCACGTATGAGTATACGAATAAGTAAAAAGCACATACATACATGTTTGAATGAGAACCTTACGGGACGAAACATAAATGATGCCAGGAAGAGCAGTTATTATCAAATAATACTGTTTTTTCTTCAAAATATTACGTTCACTAGCGCTCCGAGGTTTCAAAGATTAGAGAATGGTTAAAATTCACTGCCATAAATCAATGAAAATTACAATGAAAACCAATGATAAGTCGTAAGCAAGTTCAAATAGTATCAATAATGTTCATCTCGGCATATATGGATTGTTGGAATGTAATACCCTTGACTTCAAGTTATGGAACATTACTCCTTGATATGGATCTTATGGCCAAAATAATGAGAATAATAAACCATTTTTCGTGATCCAGTGCTCGAAGATGGTGCCATTATATTGTACTGCATCCAACAAATCCTCAACTGGGAAAGTTAGTTGCAAGGGGAGAAAGAACAAGTGCGCGCCCTTCCTCCTTGCACTGAATGGAACATGCACCTCTTTGCACTAGTGCGCACAGCCTTGAGTGTGCACCTGAGCGGCGAATGGGAAACACTAACAGCCGAATGCTTTCTTGGCCTCGTTAATGGTTTCTTCTTGTCCCCTCCAGGCGAATGCCAGACAGTACTCTCACGAACACGATATACGAATACTTTCTCTTATAAACAACTCTGGAATTATTTGGGTAGAAAAATGACCATAACACCTCGGTAATATGAACTAAAGCGTTGATGCGGGTTTGCGTGGCTCATACTTAACCGTAAATGGATGGGCCTCATATACTTTTATCTTTCTCGGGTTTGTGTGTCCATTTTATCCTACACTACAGGAGCACGCACATTTAAAGTTTTACCCGTTCGAGTGTAGCGCGTCTCGTTCTTGACAGTTTCTTAGAGTTCAGGGAACAGAGTATGATCGGCAATCAATAAGGTGCTTCCATTAAAATATTTCCTTACTAACCTGACAACTTCAAGTTATAAAAACGCATTTGAGTTGAACGCACAACTAAGTTTCTACAAATGGCTACTCTGCTTTCCTGTTTGTCAGGGACACATCATTTTCATGCTTCTCAAAAGGATATAAATTATTGCAAATTGTAATAAAAAACTCAGTAATTACATTTCCGCAAGGAGTAAATTAACTATTTGATCCACTTTCTATATTCCTTTATCAAAATTGTTTTAGCAATTGGTACTGAACATTAATGTGATTTTTAAAAATTTCATACATTTGTATCATAAACACACTAGATTTTCAGGTCTCTATCCTCGCGTAGAAATATCTTTCTTCAGAGTATAAAAGATTTCGCGAGAATTTTCGTTTATCATGAAAATATGCCAATACTATCTTTTTGAACAAGAGTTCTGGAAATGTTCAAGAATAAAAAAATTAAGGAATTCTGACTCGCAACAACTCAATTTTCGAAAAAAATACAAAATGGATAAAATTATTTTCTCGATACTCTCAACGTTCATTATGTATACACCTATATATCAAAAATGTTTGGGAGTCTTCTTACAACTAAAATATTAAAGATAGAGTTATTTTTCCTCAAAGAAATCTATTTCTTAAACATAGATGTTGAAATATGATCAAGTACACATTTTCAAAAATTTCAGCACTTTTCCGGTAATTTTGCGTGAAAGTACATGCTGATTTAGCACTAGTCTTAGAGAGTATTACTACTTTCTGGAGTATACGTATACGTACGTATACAAGTACACATACGTAAGTAAATTTTTCTCAAAGAAAAAGTTCCAAATATTTTCTAAAAAGTTTCTTGCAGGAATAGAGTGAAATACTCGTCTAAAGATTGCATCAGTCCTATTTTCTCTGTTAACCCTGAATGTTCGAAAATTACGTAAGTTTTATATTATCGGCGTCTTCCTGCATCTGTAATATTGAAGATAGTTTTTTCTTCAAAGAAATTTGTTTTCAACAATTTATTCTTCATCTACTGGACCCGGGAATACTTCGCTATTGCAGTATTTTACACATCACACACTGCTGG